TTAAAAAAATCTACGAGACATTTGTAAAATGCTTCGGTATGGATGCTCCTAGCTATTCCACTGTAACGTATCATGTTAGGATGTATCACTTCATGAACAAAAAGGCGCCCATCATAAAAATTGACAAAAATCGCCGGATCAAAGAAAAATCAAAGCAATTCTTCAAGCGCTAGATGAAGACCCAAGAGCATCACTCAGAAGGATAGAGAGATGACAAAGATACCACGTACAACAGTCAGTTATTATCTGCACAATTATTTGAACTACAAACTAGCGTATACACGTTGGGTTCCGCACAACCTTAATTCAGTTCAAAAAAATCTAGAGTCCAATCTTCGAAAGAGCTCCTCTCTATATTGGGTGCGTATCAATCCAAGAAGTTTCGCTTTTTAGTAACAGGGGACGAGTCTTGGTTTCAATATGCAACAGAAGCCAAAACCATGTGGATCCCGAAGGATGAAAATCCGCAAACATTCCCGAAGAAAAAAATTCAATTTTTCCAATAAAATTCTAATATCAAATATTTTTATTTAACGATTAATTTTATTTATATTTTTATAGTTTTTTTAAGAAAAAATATTGTTAGGGTTTTATGGATTTTCAATTAATATACAAGATAATTCATGAATGTATATATTTCCAAGTTTTTAAGGATGCAACACTTTACATTTGTAAACTGTCAAAAGTGAAGTCACGCTATTTTTCATGCATTACACCTTCAGGCTCTTTTAGCTGTTGTTGCTGAACTATTTCTTCCATGTCTGGTTGTATCTGAACTTCTTCCTGTGGAGTTTCTTGTACCTCATCTGCTGGCATTTCATATATTCCGAGACCGTTTTTAACAAGTTCCCTATCTAAGTCATCCGGACTCATAAACCTTTCTTCTTTCGTTCCGTCTCTATTTTTTACGCGTTTCATGAAGAGAGTTGAATTATCATTTAGCTCTGACATCAAATATCTCGGAGTAAATTCATTCATGTCATTTGGATGATATGCTATTAAATCATATCCCTTTGCGAGCTTGTATTTTCCAGGTTTGAGATTATATCCGATTTTATGCTGAACCATAAAGCTAAATAGGTTCGGGTCAGTATTTCCTTCTAGGGATGCGTTAAACACGCCATTTGACCGGGCGTACATTTTTTTTGTTCGCCCAAAAATTTCGCCATTTGAGAAATTCAAAAATTAAAAATAAAATTTTAATCTTGATTTTTTTATTTTCGTGATTTTTTTGAAATAGGGATGCGTTAAACACGCCATTGACCGGGCGTACATTTTTTTGTTCCGCCAAAAATTTCGCCATTTGAGAAATTCAAAAATTAAAAAATAAATTTTAATCTTGATTTTTTATTTTCGTGATTTTTTTGAAACTTACATAAGCGATGAAATACTTTTTTTTAAGTAATCGTTATAATATATAATATATCTTAATAAATTTAATTCCTTAAAGTAGAGCGTGTTCAAATTTAAAATCTCATACAATATTTTCTTAATGCGTATTTTTCTGAGGTCGCCCAAATAAAGGCGAATTCAAATTGAGAACTCCAAGGCGTATGGCGAGTATTCAAAATGTACGCCACTTACAAAATATTGAATGTGGATTATCAATTTTTTGGCGTGTTCAATTTCAAATTTTGATATTTATGTTTATTTTATTCATATAATGCTAAGAATTAAAATATAAAATTCATAGAATTTTTTCTTTGAAAATATTTTACATTTTTATTAGACCACTCCTAGACTAGTCATCAGGTTATCCTCAGATCATCCTCAGACTACTCCTTATCAGATTACTCATCATCCTCAGACTACTCCTTAGACCCCTCCTCATCAGACTATTTTTAAACGGTCATGGCGTAAAACCGTCGCATCCCTATTTCCTTCCTTGAACTTTCTAATAGCTTCTTTATATCTGTCACTAAAGTCAAGAGTATCTGGGTAACCATAATCTTCCTTAAGCATTTTTAAGAATTCTTGGTTTCCTTTTTCTCTACTTCTTTTATGTCCTTGCTCTGTTTGTGTTGTTGTTGTGGCAGGTTTTGAACTGTTGGTTGCTGTGCTGGTGTGGAGGTGGTTGTTGTGCTGGTTTTGGTTGTGGTGCAGGTGCTGGATTTTGAACTGTTGGTTGTTGTGCAGGGTTTTGAACTGTTGTTTTGGTTGTTGTTGTGGTGCTGGATTTTGAACTGTTGGTTGTTGTGTTGGTTTTGGTGCATGCCTGTGTCTGTGTCCATTTGACGATGTAAATGTTTTAGGTAGTCCTGGTGCAGGTGCTTCTCTTGGAGGGGGTTGGTGGTATATAAGTTCCACCAGCTGGCACATATGTTCCATCTGCAGCATAATGTCCTACCTGACTTTTCATTTTTAAGAAAGCATTTACTAGGTCTGTTTTGGTCTGTTGTAACTCTTTTTCTTGACTTTCCACAACAGCTGCTCTAACGGCGCATAGGCACTTTGAACTGCCTGTCTCGTTGCTGCATCTGTATTTTCGTCATATTTTGTGCTACTTCTCTTAACTCTTTGTCGAAACCTTCAGACTTCAGTTTCTTTCCAGATGAGAAGTCGTTCACTAGTTTCACCTTACTATGAAGAGCTTCGAAGGCATTCTTAAAGTCAGCATTCATTAAAGCTTCATTTGAACTGTCTTCATCCGCTTGTATTTTTGTCCTTATTGACCCTATAAGTTGGGCTGCTTTAGCGTTGGCTTGGGCATCTAACCAGTCATTATTAGCTTTTATAATATCTGCGCTTTTCATTGCCTTTTGCATGGCTGCGTCGTTATTTTTACTTTCTTGTGCTAAGTTTTCATACTGTACGGTTTGGTGTCAGTTTTACTATTGGATGTTTCAATGCTCTACAAAAAAGTCACCGGCTGGCTCGTCCTCAGAAATTTTTTATGGGCTAGAGGGCGCAACGCGCCTGGAAGCCCCACTTGCCTTGCCTTTAAATGTATTTGTATTCAAATGTGATATTAATGAAAGGGACGAGAAATCGATTAAAAAAAGCAATTTTAAAATTGTTGCGGAATTGTCACTTTTTCAGATTTTCAGATTCTATTTCCTTATGAGCGACGATATTTTAAAGCAATATGATGAATTTATAGAATTATTTGAGAAGTTATATCACCTAAAATCAAATGAATCCGTTGAAGATATTCTCAATTTCATAACAATTTTAATTGACAAGTATAAAAAAAAAAAAAAAAAAAAAAAAAAAAGGGAGTGGGGCTTCCAGGCACTTCGTGCCTTCTAGCCCTGATGATGTTTAGTAATAAATGAAGTTTTTATTCGGAAAAATTGTTAGTCTTCTGGGTCGAAAACATTATATATAATGTGTCGCTTTTCACAAATTATATATGTTTTCATGTTTTGTCAAACATGAACGTACATGTTTTGTCAAGACTTCTTCGTAAATGTTTTGTCAAGACTTCTTCGTAAATGTTTTGTCAAGACTTCTTCGTAAATGTTTTGTCAAACATGAACGTACATGTTTTGTCAAGACTTCTTCGTAATGAGTGTAAATGACCAAAAATATAATTTAGGGTAGAAGGTTAGATCTAACCTCTTTTCTAACCTCTTTTCTACCCTCTTGAATTTGTCAAGACTTCTTCGTAAATGTTTTGTCAAACATGAACGTAAATGTTTTGTCAAGACTTCATCGTAATGAGTGTAAAGGACCCAAAAATAATGTTTAGGTGAAGAGGTGAGATCTCACCCGTTTTTTCACCTGTTTTCTCACCCTCTTGAATTTTCATGATTTCTTCGTCATAGGCATGGAGATAGGACGGTTATTTTACAAAACCGACAACACTTTGACCGAGTAGTTTTTTGTGCTGAACAAAAAGTGTCATACAAACATCTGTCAAAAACCGTTTTTTACTTCACTTAAAATGCCACGTAAGCTACGTAAGAATATACGTAAGAGGAAGAGAGCATTGAAACATCCAATAGTAAAACTGACACCACAACAACAGTTGCAACAACAAATGCTGAATGACCCCACTATGTTGCAACAAATGTCAAGCAACCCTATGCTTTTAAACCGAGTTATTGGTGCACAGAGTGGAGGTTTAAGAGCGGCACTTTTAGCGAAAATGGCAGGCTATGGTGGAGCTGCAGACGGAACAGCTTATAACCCTCAAAGTCAAATGAATTTGAGTTCACTCAAAAATCAAATAACAGATGTCAAAAAGTCAAACATAGACATACAGAAACAAATAAGTGAAAACGAAAAGAAACTAGAATATGACAGACACACAAAGAAACTCAATGAGTTAAACGTAGAGAAAAAGAAGAAAGAAGAACAAACTGAAAGAACTAAGTACAGAGGAATATGCGAAAAAAGTGTCAGAAAAAGCAGCAGAAGTAGCAAAAATGGAACAAGATGTTATAAATTTGAAAAACCATACTACTCAATATAAAGTACTGAAAGATGAAGAAATAAAACAAAAAAGCCCTGAAGACATATATGGATAGCGATGAGATATAAAAGAAGTTGAAGCAAATGTAAAGGCAGAAAAACTTTTTACAGTTGCAAAAACAAACCGTACAGTATGAAAACTTAGCACAAGAAAGTAAAAATAACGACGCAGCCATGCAAAAGGCAATGAAAAGCGCAAGAATATATAAAACTAATAATGACTGGTTAGATGCCAAGCCAACGCTAAAGCAGCCCAACTTATAGGGTCAATAAGGACAAAAATACAAGCGGATGAAGACAGTTCAAATGAAGCTTTAATGAATGCTGACTTTAAGAACGCCTTCGAAGCTCTTCATAGTAAGGTGAAACTACTAGTGACGACTTCTATCTGGAAAGAAACTGAAGTCTGAAGGTTTCGACAAAGAGTTAGAGAAAGTAGCACAAAATATGACGAAAATAACAGATGCAGCAACGAGACAGGCAGTTCAAAGTGCCTATGACGCCGTTAGAGCAACTGTTGTGGAAAGTCAAGAAAAAGAGTTACAACAGACCAAAACAGACCTAGTAAATGCTTTCTTAAGAACGAAAAGTCAGGTAGGACATTATGCTGCAGATGGACATATGTGCCAGCTGGTGGAACTTATATACCAGCTGGTGGATACTTATATACTAGCTAGTGGAACTATATACCACCAAACCCTCCAAGAGAAGCACCTGCACCAGGACTACTAAAACATTTACATCGTCACATGGACACAGACACAGGCATGCACCAAAACCAACACAACAACCAACAGTTCAAAACACTGCACCACAACCAACAGTTCAAAACACTGCACCACAAACCAACAGTTCAAAACACTGCACCCACAACCAACAGTTCAAAACACTGCACAGCAACAACCACAAACAGAGCAAGGACATAAAAGAAGTAGAGAAAAAGGAAACCAAGAATTCTTAAAAATGCTTAAGGAAAATTATGGTTACCCAGATACTCTGACTTAGTGACAGATATAAAGAAGCTATTAAAAGTTCAAGGAAGGAAATACTGACCCGAACCTATTTAGCTTTAGTTCAGCACCAAATGGGATATAATTTCAAACCTGGAAAATACAAGCTCGCTAAGGAATGATTAATAATAAGATCATCCAAATACATGAGAATGAATTACTCCGAGATATTGTGTGTCAGAGTAATAAATGAATTCAAACTATCTTCATGAAACGCGTAAAAAATAGAGACGGAACGAAAGAAGAAAGGGTTATGAATGCGGATGGCTTAAATAGGGAACTTGTTAAAACGGTCTCGGAAATATATGAAATGCAGCAGATGAGTACAAGAAACTCACAGGAAGAAGTTCAGATACAACCAGACATGGAAGAAATAGTTCAGCAACAACAGCTAGAAGAGCCAGAAGGAAACGAACAAGTCCCTCCTTTGGAAACTAACTTCACAGAACTAGATGAAGATTTGGAACAGCCGAAAAATCGTGACCCTCAACAAGAGTATGCGGAGAATATGGAATCTTTCCAAGAGTCTAAGAAAAATTCAGCTGACATAGTAGAAGAATATCGAAAAATGTTCGCCGACATACAAAAGACTCCAACATCAGATGAAAATATTCAGCATAGAATGGAAGTACTGAAAGAAAATGTACGCAAATACAAAATCCTTTTTACTTACGACCATATAACGTTCAATCTTTGGCTGAACTCGGTGAAAATAAAAGTTAAATTTCAACAAAAACATATAGAAATGAAACATTGTTTAAAGTTCATTCAGAACCTAACCAATATGGAAACAAACCTACTTTTGTTTCTGCAGACTATGGAACTACAATGAATGGGTCAATAAGCTAATCCGGATAGGTGGTTCATAAACTTACAACCACAATTCCAAGAAGTTGTAGACGCAATGGAAGTGAATGGTGAACCAGATATAGCTGGTATTTTCAGCGCGGCTTTAATGCCATTGAAAGATATGAAAGATGCAGATATTTTGGACCAGTATGAAATGAACATGGCTGATGGAAATATAACACCTGACGTTCTAAAACATTTATCTCAAAGAACTACACAGAACCATAAAGATGGTATATTTGGTGAAGAGTTTAGAAAGAAAGTTAGGGAGATAGAAGGAAGAGAACCTATTGTACATGACCTTGCAAACGAAAGTTTGCAAAATGTCATAAAAAACTTATTTGCAGACAATGAAACTGAGAAGGGATGAATATTTAAGAAAACTCAAATGGACAGTACCAAATGAAATGTTAGTATTGAAAAACATGTTCCTTGACAAAAAAACCAACTACAGAAATAAATGACGCAAGACTGAAACATTGGGTAAAAGCTTTCCCATTCACAAAAGATATTATTGGTAACATGGAAAGAAAACCAGAATGGCTACAAAAACATATATTTGGAAACGAGCTTATTCCATATGGACAAGCTATATTTGAAGAGCTTGAACGAAAACTTCTTCGTCATCATATGGTTTAATGATATAACTATTTCTATCTTTATACAGCAGTCAATGAAAAGTCAACTGGTCTCGGATGTATTTGAAAGAACATGTTATGCTCAGGAAGGAAGAATAAATGTTTAAATGTATGTTTGTTATATTTTTCGATTTGTATGAGTTGCTTTTGTTCTGTCATTTACATCCAAATAAAAATTTCAGTAAAATAAAAAAAATAAACTTAAAATTAATTATATCACCACCTCACACGTATGAAAACATAGCACAAAAATAAATTTAGGTGAAGTGGTTGAGATCTCACCTCTTTTTTTCACCTCTTTTTTCACCCTGTTGAATTCATTGCTTTATAACTCTCTTCCTTGGTTTCTTTTTAGTTGCTTTCTTCACGTCTGTCTCCAACTTGACTGTCTTTCTTCTTCGTCCGTAATGATACCAGTTACTTCCACCAGTCAATGGGTCAAATGGTCTTTCGAAGGGTTTCCATACATTCCATAGGGACCATACGGAAGAACTACTGGTGGAAGTTGTGGAGAAGAAACATTTTCTTTAGTTCCATCGACTCTATTTAAATGCATTGTTTCACCTTTCATCTGGTCATTAAAGTCTTTTGCGTGTTTTGCAAACTCATCGTCCTTTCCTAAAGCATTTTCTGACTCAGTCGCAACCAAATTGGATGCTTTATTTATGAGCCCTATTTTATTTAATCTTAACTTCTTTGCAACCCAGCCTCCAATCTTCCCTTTATTTGCATCTAATGTCTTCGAAAACCCTTCCTCCACTCATTTTATTTACTGCGTCATAAGCTCCAAGTGCTTTTGCTCCAAATGCTAATGCTTTTGTTCCCATTGCGCCTAAAGCTGCCCAAGCTACCATTTACACCATATTAAAATCATCTCTCTTCAATATTATCTCATAAAAGTTCTCGTTACTGGAGAAAGTCAATGAAACATAAGCGTTCTCACGGGCTTCGTCCTCACCGCTTTGCGGTCTATCTAACTTCTTTCTTATCTCATCTATACGCTTCAAAATGTCTGAACAATTGCTAACATCTTCTACAACAGTTATTTCATCATGAATGACCTTCAAGAACAAGCTCATTTAATATGCTATTAAAATCATCTCAATAATGAGTCCATCCTTTCCATCTTTAGGTAGCACAACATCTTTCATTGAAGAAGGTTCGACAAGTCTTATGTTAAACTTACTGACAAAGTTTGTTATACTATAATGCTTCGACGGCGAATACATGTAGTTTGAAAGACATAATATAGATTCTTCAGCAAATTCACTTATACTGGATTTTATAACAATGTTCTCACGAGACCAAATACCACCAATTGAAATCTTGTAAGCAATCCTGCTGAACCTTCTACTGTAAACGTCGATGGTAACATTCCACGAAGGTCATCTATTGACATCGTTGAGTCACTGTATTTAAATATTTTCTTAAAGCAATCGTCATTATCTAACCATGCAATAGCTTTGAAGTTTTCATTCGAATATACATCTGCTTCATTAAATGTAAAACCTGACTTCTTTGCAGAGATGACTTTAAAATCTATTGAGTTTGTTTCAAAATTATATGCTATGGTAACTTCTGAAGGTAATGGATGTCCTTCCGCAGTCAGTTGTTCTCTCACTACCGTTTTGAAGCTTTGTATTAAAAACTTTCATGTCATCTCCTGTATCTAAGTTCACATACACAGCAACAGGGAAACTATCTTGCTTCTTTGTTTCATCATTATATCTCAAAACATTAAAGTTCTTCAATAATATTGTTCTTCCTGCTGGAATACTTCGAACCTGTCTGATTTCAATAGCTTTCTCACCTCCTACATACTCTACCCAGTGTCTTGGATATTCATAAGTATACTGACTTTCTTGAATTTTGGTAGGTTTCATCATAACGTGTTCATAGTATATCTTTATACTCTTGTCAGTTAGACTCGGTGCTATGTTCTGAATATTTCTGACTTGCATTTTTAATGGAGATAAAATGAAGCATTTAATACATGACGTAGATGAAGACATGAATGAAACTACAGACAAACTTAACTCTTCTCTTATTCTTCCTTTCAGCAAAGATTATGAGTTCTGTTCAAATGGTGTGTATTTCTATTGTGGAAAGATGGGTTCAGGAAGACATTTAACCTCATTCGTCATATACTCATAACAGAACGTTTAGGAAACGACTCTTATATGACCAAATCATTATATCAGCAACTTCAGACTCTATGGACTCAACAGCGAAAACATTTATGTCAAAAGTTCAAGCCTCTGTCGTTAAAGTTCCAGACAGTGAACTCATTGAATTTCTTCAACGTTACATTCGACGTAAGAGGAAATATTATGCCATCGTTGAATTTATACAGTCAGGAATGCAAAAGACTTCTGAGGAGATGGAAAGAATTATTGACAAACACCACTTACGTCAATACTCAGGAGTTTACGAATGAAACGACTTACAAACTACATTCTGTCAAAACTTTCAAAATACCCCTTCAAAAAATATCCTTCAAACACTCTGCTCGTTTGTGACGACTTCGCCGGAAAAGGTTTAGTGTCAAAACCAGACTCACCATTAGCTAACATCATTACTAAAGTCAGACATTACCACTTAACTGTAGCAATACTTATGCAAACATGGAGGTTTTTAGCTTTAAACATAAAACGTCTCATAACTGACTTCGTTATCTTTCAAGGTTTCTCACGCTTATGATATTGAACTCATTTGGAAACAGTCAGGTATAACATTACCTTTTGAAGAAATTTGGGAAGCATATAAGTCTCTCATCTCTCCTCGTTCATACCTTGAGATTCATATCATGACTAATACCATTAAAGTCAAAAATATTCCATGGGAACGACCAACATTGTTTTAAAGTTTAACCTTCAATTGACTGATGGTAAACAAATTCCATGCATCTCTGTCGCCATTTCTGTTAATATTTTTGCTGTCATTCATATCATCCACTTCCCCATCCGTTAGCTTTTGAGGATATGCGTTAGAATAGCTGTTCTTAAATGAAGGCTTTTCACCTTTGAGAGCATAAACTCTATAACTTTCTGCATACTTTATGTTTGAACCTCCTGAGCCATCATTGACATAAATTTTTATAGGCTTCCACCCTTTGTTCATGTTCCTGCTTCTTCCTTAGCTCTTTTGTTCAGTAGTTCTACATCTTTATACACAGCACCTGTCTCAGTGAATTCAACAATATTTTCATTCGTTAGCTTTACATTCAAACCCTTGTCGAGTATATTGTTCATTTCATACATATAAAAGGTTTTTATTCTATATGAAATGAGAAGCAAATCCATCTTAGCTGGTGCCGTTAATGTTCCAATTGAACCAACATCAAATGTTGACTCACGAACGACAAACAATATTGTCATAAAGAACTATAGTTCAGAGTGTTTGAAAGAAAAAGAACCAGAGCTGAAATCCGTGAATTTAAACACAGCTTCAAACGCTAACGCTACATCAGATGTTAAGTTAGAGTATCCACCACTGGACCAAATTCTTTCAAGAGAAGCCAACGACAACCCTTACACAAATGTTCAAACAAATCCTTCAGATAACGTAGACCATTACCTTCTTCAGTTATACCAAACAATTTTACTCAAAGACGATAAGAAGCTTTTGACAAATCTTATAAGCAAGAACCAAATAATTCTAACAAAGGAGGACCTTGAAAATGTTATCTCACGAATAACAGGGAAACAATGTGTCATTGACTATCTCGACCCTGAAATCGAATGCTGTGGTCAAACTCCACTATTCATGAAAATAGGTAAACATCCGCATCATTGAAACACCAGGAACTACAGGAGTTGAGTTTAAGTATAAATATTCGAACGAGTATACAAAACTTTCAACAGAATATAAACTTTGCTTGAAATATGTTTTAGTAAATTAAAGCAATTTGTAATATCTATCCAAAACTTCTTCAACAGTATCGAACTCATCTTCATAATGCAAACCTAATCTTATTGACTTGGTGCAGTTTTCACTAACACAATATTTTTCTGTTCTCTTGACTGACATAACTAATCATTTGTTTCATCAAACAGCAACAACCAAAGTTCATGACCTAATACATAACATTCATACTTTATATTTTTAGCTCTGAGTTCTCTTGTAAGCTGTTGCATTTAATATTTTCTAAAAAGTCAACTTCAACAGTCATTCGCACTGGTGCCTTCAGTTCTACAGGCTCTCCTTGAAAGTCAACAAGTCTGAATTGCATGTCTTTCAAATTATGAGGACTAATGCGAACCCATTTACCTAAATGAGTTGCTATGACAGGAACGTTTGGAATGAACATTGAATTGACTGCATAACAGAAGGATTTATATTCTACTGAACCTTTACTATTAACTCCTGAAATGCCTGTGACATTAGCTATTTTAGACTCAATGTATAAACAATTACCATAACATACGTATGGAACAGATTTCATCTCAATCGTTTTGTCAACACTTTTCAAAGGAAATGTCATATGGTATGCACCCAAAAGAAGTTGTACTCTATGACTCATTCGTGTTATCTTAAACTCCTTCACATAACTGAACTTCAAAACTCCTGCAATAAGTTTAACATTCATTAAGTTTTCTTCGTTATCCTTGTTTATTGTAGTATTTATGAGAGCATTTAACACTCCAGCTAATGTTTCCATCTTATATTCTACATTATTGTGAAATCTTATTTCGTGCTTCTTTCCATCTATTTCAATCTCCATGAAATCTGTTTCATCTGTTATAACGAATGAAGCGATAGTATTGAAGTCAACCATTCTGAATGCAAGCGCCTCATTCTGTAGACCTAAGTTTGTTTGTAGCTTTACTGTCCCGTATTCGTTTGGGTCTGTACTTTGCAAATAGAACAACATTTTATTCTCATTAAAATATGAGTATAGCTGCATATGCGTATGAAGCTGACAGAGCTAAACGTTTATATTTTGGTCAATACTCTCTCACACTTACTGACAAATATATTGTTATCACTGATGGAAATACTGAGAAATACATAACATGGAAGGACTATGAAAAGTTTGACCCTATTTTAACTCCATGTACTATGCCGTTTATAAAGGACGGTGAAATTATTGAAAAAGATAATACAACCGTATATAGGTCTGTTTATGAAGCATTAGAATATATGTTGAATCATAACCCAAAAAGATTTGACCCAAGCACTACACCATGTGCAATGCCTTTTATTAAGGACGGTGAAATCGTAAGAGTTCCGGATTCAACGGTTTACACAGCTGTTCAAAACAGTTTACAAAACATTTTAGCGAATATCTTTAATTCAGAAACTACAGAAATAAAATTACCATATATAACAGATGCTAAAGAAATTAAATCAAAAACGACAACATTATTTACGTCACTTAATGATTTAATGACTTATATCATTAATATTCCTGCACCAACTACAGCATTTGATCCAAACTCGACGGTTTGCAGTGTACCTTTCATAAATGACAGTTCATTAATTGCTTTAAGGGATTCAACAGTAAATGAATCATTAAAGGCGTCATTAATGAAAATCATTGATTTTAACTCATTCACGAATACATATAATTCATTCATTAATGTTTCATATGCTTCTAAAGAAGGTGAGCCAAAAACTATTGATAAAGCGGTGTATGAAATAAAAGCATCAACGACGAAATTGAATTCGTTAACTTTTGACGGTGATAGTTTCGTTAATGACATAACATCGGGGAAAACAATTTTAACGAAAGAATACTTAAAATCTCATGTTAGTGAGTTCGTTGAAATTGAAAAAGAAGGTGGAATTAAATTCGATCCACTGAATTTCATTTTCAGCTTAGCGAATGCGGGTGTTAGTTTCGCTGAATGGACAACTATACAGAGTGAAATAAATGCAATATGGACGTTTTTGGGGTCAAAAGCGGGAATGGGAGCTTGTAAATGCTGCAAGAACATTAGGTGAAACAGGAAATTTTGTAGATGGTTTTAAAAGACTTGTTTCAAATGTTTTAACAAACACAAAGAAATTATTTAGATATACCGTACATAACGGACGGATTTTCGAACAGATAGCAACAAACCCTCCGGTTATGGCTGCGTTGATGATGGTTAGAGATATAAAACCACGTAACGACGGGAACGAAGAACATGAACAACAGGATACTGGTCGGGTTATTCGAGACATTAAAAACGTGTATCCTGAAGTTATTGATTTATTTAGAGGAGTTAATGATTCAATTTCAAAACATTCTATAACCCTCGATGAAGAGAATAAATTAACAGATTATATATTCGTCATTATTGCAGAATTAATGAAGAGAATAAATGAAAAAGGAATTGGTGATATCATTAATGTCAGCGATGTAATGATGAAAAGAAATTTTGACTCATTATTTACAAAACCGAAAACAGAATATAGTCTTTATGACGTAATTACCGAATTAATGAAAAAGATTAATGATAATAAGAGTTCTGGCGGAAGAGTTGAATTAGAAGTGAATGATGTTAATGAGAAATTAGCCGAAAAAGCAGACAAAAATGAGCTTTTAGCTCTGAGTGATAAAGTCAAGAACCACGTTCATTATATAACTTCAGACGAACAGATTATAACGGACTACCATGGATATTTAACACGAAGTGATGAAGTGAAGACGGAAGACCCCAATGAAAGAAGATATAAATACATTCGTGCTAAAGGTTATGACATAAGCTGTACTGTACAGTATGACACAGGTAAAGCACAAGAAGCATTTAGTTATAACGATGAAATTTATGCCTCTACTTTCAATGTTAACGGTGTATTAGTTGAACCAAGATTTACTTTGAGAGTTAAGTCAAAAATAACGTTTGAAGATGCTATTAAAAGTAAAGCTGACAAAGTTGAACTTGAAGCAATGAACAAAGTTTTGAAATCTCATAAACACAACATCTCCGATATAAATGAACTTCAAGCTACATTAGACAGTAAAGCCGACAAGAACCATACACATAAATCCTTCACTACTGTTAGAGCAGACGACATAATATTGAACTATACCCTTGGTTCAAGTGCACCTTTAGAGAATCCAAGTACAAGCGTAAAAGATACACTAAACTCCTTAAATAGTAAATGTATGAACATTGAAGGTCATGTCAGAAACTTTGAAACACATGAACTACTAGCAATGTTAGATAAGAAAGCTGACAAAGAACATACACATAAATCCTTCACTACTGTTAGAGCAGACGACATAATATTGAACTATACCCTTGGTTCAAGTGCACCTTTAGAGAATCCAAGTACAAGCGTAAAAGATACACTAAACAATTTAGATAACAGATGTATGAACATTGAAGATCATGCCAGAAACTTTGAAACACATGAACTACTAGCAATGTTAGATAAGAAAGAAGACAAAACAGAGCTTCAAACATTAAAGACTGAAATACTTCAAACATTATATCCTGTTGGTTCTATTTATACGTCAATGAACTCAACAAATCCAGCAAGTGTTTTAGGTTTTGGTGAATGGAAGCAGATTGTAGACAAATTCTTATACTGTGCTAGATATTCAAAGACGGCAGGAGGTTCGAAGAAAATTAAAGAAGCAAACCTTCCACCGCACACTCAGACAGGAACTACAAACACAACAGGTAGTCATTCACATTCAATAACAAAAAGAGGTTATACAAATCTTGCAGCAGGTTCGGATAGACAGGGAATGAATAGATATGATATTTCAAGTGACCCAGTAGATTCAAGCGCAGGTATTTTCTGTGGAACCACAGGAAATCATTCACACACTTTCACAACAAATCCAACAGGCTCGGGTGCAGATTATATGCCACCATTTATGACTGTATTCGCATGGTATAGAGTTCATTGAACGCGCTTGAGCCTTGAATAAAATCTTTAACTTTACATAAATGAGCTTGAAAGAAGTATTCGAACAACATCCATGGAGGTCATTTAAGAAGTTCAATGAAGCTGCAAAGAGTTGGGGATTTACTAACAGAACTGAAGTGAAAAGGTTCTTTGACAAAAATGTTGTACATCAAACAAAAATAAACCCTTACGACTACTTTTTACCAATTTACTCCAACACTCCTGACGCATACCAATTTGACACTCTCATTCAAAGCAGAAAAGGAGGACATAAACCATTCCTCATCTTCATTAATGTTAACACTCGTAAAGCATATGCATATCCAATGAAAAAAGGAACTCGTGAAGTGTTAAGAGTTTTACAAAAGTTTGTAGCAGAACATAGCCCAAGTACTTTAACATCAGACCAAGACAGTGCATACCTCAGCAATGAAATCACAGATTTTCTCATTAAGCATAACATAACTCACTACACTACTGAAGACCATAACCATAACATACTCGGCATCATAAACCGCTTCATAAGAACGCTCAGAGATTTAAACAAGAGCGAGACTTTACCGAAGAAACAATGAAACATTTTCTCGAAGTATATAATTCCTCAACACATTCTACAACAGGACATACACCAAATTCAATGACACAACAACAAGAAGAAAAGTATATACAAAAGAAACGAAGCCAAACACAAAATATCAGAAATTCAACACAATTTACCCTCATTCCTGGTACAAAAGTTCGTGTAGTTCTTGACGACAAACCGTTGACAAAGAAACGTTTAAGGTTAAGTAGAAACTATTATATCGTAGACTCTACGCAAGGTAATGGATATCTTATAAAAGCTGCTGACGACTCTATTGCGTTTTACCCTCGACATAAATTAGTTGAAAGTAGTAATGGCAAACTTGCTGAAACCATTGACGAAGCAAAGCGAGGAGTGGTTATTGAAATACTTGGCTATAACATAAACGATGACACTTATAAAGTAAGATATGAAGGAGGCGTTGAAGATGTTATACCATCTAAGAACTTGAGAGAGTCAAAGCAACACATCTGGGACCATTAGAGCGGGAGTACTGGAAAGACAAAAATAAGCCAGAAAGAATAAGAAAATTCTTCTAAACTTTTTCATTAGATGTAAATCAGACATGAATGAGAACAGTCATGATATCATTAATGGTACCATTTATTTTTGTCATAAATTTACACCAAAAATATATTTTAGGTGAAGAGGTGAGATCTCACCCGTTTTCTCACCTGTTTTCTCACCCTCGCCGCTAAGCGGCTCAGACCCTTTTCTCGTGAATTTTCATGAATTTCCTTAAGATAGAAAAAATAAAGTTAGTTTTATTTTTATTTATTTTTTTATTTTGTATGTAAAGATATGATTTCAACAATCGGCACAACAGCAATTCAAGCCGCGACAACTACAACAGCACCAAACTCGTAGTTATGAATCCTACGTCAATGTTAGTAGAAAAAAAACTTCATTCCTTCTTCATATACTTTCGAAACAAAAATCCAGAAGATAAAGCAAGAACTGTTAACAAGTAATTTAGACTGTACCGCACAGG